AGGTGCGCTCACACACACACACACACACACACACACACACACACACACACACACACACACACACACATACACACACACGCGTGCGTGTCCGCACGTTACATGTTCTTTGCAACAGCCATACCTTGGCATTATGATGATGATGTTGCCATCAGAAGCAGACTTTCACACACGCACACTTGACTTATCCGGATGCCGACTCTTAAGAGTCCACAACCAAGGGTCCATATGCCACTGCACAATTAGTGTAGGTCCTGGATCCTCTTCACTCTGAAATGTTATACCTGGGAGCGGAAACAGTCATGGGGATAGGCATCGGAAGGCATATTTACGCTCACATGTTACAAACACCGGCTCTGTAAGGTAAAAAAAAGTGTTAAGCTACCACAGCAATCTGCGCATGGAGAAGACACAGAGAAACCATCTCCTCGATCAAATCAACTGTTTTCTTTTGCTTTTTTTTGAAAAGCCCTGCTCAATGAACAAGGACTGTAAAAAAATTCTTGAGAAGACTCCTTCATTGCTCCCCTCCACGGAAATCTTTAGTAAAAGGCGAAAGATTTATTCGTGGTTGAAGGGAAGCCAGAGTATGACTTTACAGTGGTGAGTCGGTAGGTTGATGAGGCGAAAGCAGTTCAAGTGGTTGCGTTCACGACTATTTTTTGTTGTTGTCGCAATAGATCTATTTTAGAAAGGGTCATGTCACCTTATGACACGGCTCGTCTCTTCTCTAGAAATAGCGGGCAATTCCTATTGATGTTATGCCGCGTGCCGTCTTTTTTCTGGAACCATGGCAACCAATGTCTGTGCTTGATTCGTTAAGATCAGGCTGACCAGTACACGGCTGTCAAGAAGCGGCAACTTAGAAAGATGGCGTCCGTTCGAGATGGCATGGTAACCGCGCACGTGCCGTGGTCTGTGACTTGCTCATGTATGCACGCAAATGCAAGTCACAAACTCACAAAGATCGTCTTTGCATTTGGAGAAAATATCTTTGACTCTCTTTGGAGGTTGGCGAGGTTTGCCTAATCTTTACTTGATTGCGATGCCGGTATGTCCTGTCAATAATTAGAACAAAGAGAGCTGATGATCGCTTCATTGCTGAGCAGAAGTAACAATCAACTCTCCTCATGTCCTCAGTGCCAAAGGCAGACGACTGCAATTCCACAACGCTCATTTCACGATGATGGAAACAACAATCGTGTACTAGTACACACATGGACCATTTGGTCATCCCTATTCTAGCCGCTAGTCCGTCCAGCAAGCAGATATTGACTATTACGATAAGGACAACTGCGTGAACAAGGGCTCGCCCAGCAAATACAATTCAAGTCGTGACTCCAGTCAAGAATTAGGGTCTTTACTCGAGAACTTCACAAATACAGGCCAGGGCACCCCACAAAACTGATAGATGGCACGAACGAAAGACAAATAGGCTAGACAAAGTGTCCCAAGTGATTGAAAACAGCAGATCTACCAAATAAGACAGCTACATGTGCCTAAACACGATTCCCATACAGCAGAGAGTAGTATCAGGCAGAATGAAAGCCTTGGAAATGCACAAATACAGCCACGACCGCCACAGAAATTGGACGACCGCCACAAAAAAATTCTCATTGCTCTACCTCCTTGAAGGGTGAAAGTTACCAGTTATCCTATAGCGATGTCAGTTTATGCCTGTTGGAACCCCCCACAGCCCGCACGAAATACCTTTCAAATAATTCCAGGATGCAATTGCAGCTCCAGACAGGAGGAAGAAGAACACCGTGAAAAATAACGGCAACGATGCCCAAACTCTCGGGAAACGGCTGAAGTCTTCCTGAAGATGTTAACATTGAATAGCCATCGATTACCAGCGTGGTTTGGTGACTTTAGAACTGTTTTGAGACTTCGAACGAAGCGATATCTCAAATTTGATGGAATTGTTACCTGTCAAATGCGTGGGCGAGCAGGCCAGCTGACTGGTTATGCATGAACATGCATGAGCATGCATTGATTTTTCATGGTTCACGTGCAGAAAACTAAGTTGCCGCGATCCAAGTGCAGCTAACAGCCGTGAGTAGGTCCCGGGTTCGAATCCAAGCTATGGAAGTGAACTTTTTTTCTTACTAGATGATCTTTTCTTTCTAGCGGGGGGGGGGGGGGGGTACAATATGTGTACCCACCGGTACTCTGTGAGGGCGTTTGTGTTTGATTTACGGGTTTTCATAGGCAGTGCAGTAAACCTGTGCTTGCCGGACCCTGTACCAAGCGGAACCCTGTATTTTACGGGACTAATTTTCATGCACCAAGGTGCTAGGGATCAAACGAGCATCCCTGGATCAAGCGGAATCCTGTAGATTCAGGACAGTTTCCGCTGCACCAAGGGCGTCATGTGAATTATGCGAAGTACCGTTCAACACTTTTCCAGTCATCGGGCTCTCTTCCGTATCCGATTATGTTGCGAATATCGCATTGCTTCTCAGTGCGGCTTCAGGAACTATGCCATTATTTCCTGGTCACAACGATTTCCTGGTACACTAGTAAGTTCTAAGTCAGTCTCCCTGTGTGTTCACGCTGTTGTGTTTCTACCGTAGGTGCTGTTGCTGGATGAAAGCAAAACGGTCATCTCGTCCTTTTCATGCCCGGCCAGTAAGGTGAGCACGTTATCATGTAGCAGCGCATGTGGCCATTGTGCCCATTGCAAACACTTGTAGCACTTGACGGTAGCCAGTTTGAGCAAAGCGGTAAGTCAGCCTACGTCGTATACTGGGCTGCACTGGGCTGCAGCTCACAAAGCTGAGTAGAAAGAGGTTCCGCCCACCGTAATTACAGTGAAACCTCGTTAGGAAGAACACTGATAAGACAAATGTTTGCTTAAGAAGAACTAGTATTCGTAACTCCATTGGATAAATCACTGTGTATTCACTGGGGAAAGGTGAAAGCCAAAACTCACCAAAAAAGCTTAAAGGGAAGTTAAGGCAAAAATTAAAATTTCACCAGTTGTAGTCTTCGGGGTGCTGAGTCGAATGGTCTTGGTCCGAGAAAGCTGAGACGCTCCCTTCCTACTTGAATCCCAATCGAACTCGCGCACTTCCACCGAAACTGGGTGACTGCGCCCTACTAGATGGGGATTTGTATGCAAAATGTCACTAAAAGCGCCGTTTCGTTCTTATAAAAGCACGGATGACCGCGATTGGCCCATATGTTGTAGTCTTTTGGACGCTGAGTCGACTGGTTTTGGTCCGAAAAGGCTGCGATGCAGCGTTCCTCCTTTATTCCCAATCGAACATGGTTGAACAAGTGGTCACGTGCTCCTGGGTGCCCAAATCACCTGGTCACCCGCCAGCAGGCGACAACTTTCACACCAAGGTTCAACTCGAGTTCAACTCGAGTGACAGGACTGCACCCAAAAAAGGTCAAACAGGCTAGTAAGTTGTACCCTGCAGGCACGGTGACCAGCTGACTGGTGTACGCAGGAGCACGTGACCGCTTGTTCAAGCATGTTCGATTGGGAATAAAGGAGGAACGCTGCATCGCAGCCTTTTCGGACCAAAACCAGTCGACTCAGCGTCCAAAAGACTACAACATATGGGCCAATCGCGGTCATCCGTGCTTTTATAAGAACGAAATGGCGCTTTTAGTGACATTTTGCATACAAATCCCCATCTAGTAGGGCGCAGTCACCCAGTTTCGGTGGAAGTGCGCGAGTTCGATTGGGATTCAAGTAGGAAGGGAGCGTCTCAGCTTTCTCGGACCAAGACCATTCGACTCAGCACCCCGAAGACTACAACTGGTGAAATTTTAATTTTTGCCTTAACTTCCCCTTTAAAGTCACAAAAGGGAACAGTCTCGACCCCGGTCTCGATCCACACATGTTTTTTGTATCTCCTGCCAGTCACAAAACAATGCGAGTTTTTGCATTTTTTGCAGAATTACCATGCATGTCGAACGTCGGCCCGGTTTTTTTGAGCTTCGTAATGTTTTCCCGTTACCCGATATCGTCTTTTGTCACGGCTGGGAGTGAGTACCGTATTTATATCGTCCTTTTTTGCTGAGGATCTCTAAAATGTTAATCGCTGGATATACTGTAACCCTATTAGAGAACCAGCACATGTACCTGTATAGTCAAAAAGCGCTTTTTTCCGCTGAATGGCTGAATCGCGCTTGGTGTGACCGCAGCCTAAAGGCATGGACTGAGTCGGTGGGTCATTCTATTACTCGACTCCTGCAACTGGCGACAGCTCAGCCTCTAAATGTGACTGTGCGCTAGGGAGTCAATATATTACAACCTTTGTATGTCGCTCACAGGAGAGGTTGCATATTATTTTTGTCTATGAATATGGGACCACCGTAGTGCCGATTAGTTGCGATGACAAGACTAGGCTGGACCACAAGAACAGGATCACCACCAGCCATGCATAAACAAACGTGTGGCTAAATGGGTGAAGGGGATGATGCGGCTAGGAGATGATGCTGTTGCCGTGACGATCAACTGGGCTTGAGCTTGGACTTGCTCAACGCGCAGCGTCACTCATCTCCCGGTGTGGGTAATTCAGGGACCTAATCAACCTTCGTCTAATTCACACCACTAACGGCCACTGTTCTGTGTTTGTACTGCGCACCTAGCGTTGCCATGGTTACCCAATCTCGGCTAAAACAATAGTGGTGCTTTTTGGTTAGGGCATGGATTATCCTTGCTTGCGTTTGTTTGTGTTGTTTCATTTGATGTTTGTCTGCATGCTGGAAAGAAATTTGAAAGTTCTGCCACTGTGCGTAAGTTGTGTTTGAAAGCTGTTGGCAACAACAGTAAAGTCATACTCTGGCTTCCCTTCAACCACGAATAAATCTTTCGCCTTTTACTAAAGATTTCCGTGGAGGGGAGCAATGAAGGAGTCTTCTCAAGAATTTTTTTATAGCCCTTGTTCATTGAGCAGGGCTGCATATAAATAAAGAAAGAGAGTTGTGGTGGGTTATTCGACCTACAATATTGAATTTTTGACTGCGGTCTGCTTATTGCATGGAAAGCATGCAAGCGCTGTAAAATTTGGAACACTACGTACAACCCAGAGTACTATATAGCCCCCCCCCCCCCCTTAAATCACTCCTGATCTACATCAGCCTGTACAGGCCTGATAACTGAGCTCTGGATATTGTCAACCATAAGATCATAATGTGCGTGTATGTGTGTTTGTGTTGTTGTTGGTGTATTCACGGTTGCAGCTTGTTGCCGGTGAAGAATTCGAAACCGCTCGCTATCTCATTTCAGTGGACGAGGTGGAATCCTCTCAGCCGCCACCTGCCAAGAAGCCGTGTGTCGTGCGGGTATGTCATCACAAGTGCCTCGTAGTGTACTCTCGTGTATAAGCATGTGTCTCGGCTACCTCACAGGGGCGTCACACAGTCCTAAAATACTAGTAGATAGTGGTATGACCGATGGGAGGTGAGGAGGAAGAGGGGTACGGGGAACACCTCCTGCGAAAAAAATCAAATTTGGGATCACGGGGGCTATTAGTCATCACAATCACTTCAGGACTGTTTCCACAATGGATATAAAAACGCCTCCCCCGCAATTTTGTCCAAATTTGGGCTCTGTTTATGTCCATTGTAGAAGCTGTCGTTAAAAGCACGAAATAGTGGTTGCGACTTTGGCGATGACTTGTTTTGTCGCACTGGGAAACGGAGCGTCTCTGAAAGCTTGTATCCCTGGTGATGGTTGTGCCTGAAGAGCACTATATAAGTGGTTCTCTTCGGGCACAAAGCTGTGAAACCTGACGCTACTTCTCGGTGCAATCAGAACCAGTGGCTTCCTTCAGCAAAAGCTGCTCCTAGTGCCCGTACCGCTGCAAGCCTGGCTGATTGAATCGGTCTTCAATCGCACTCACGATGTTGTCAACAGCCTAGTAAGATACTGGTCGATAGTGCTCCTCAACAGTGGCTGGGTAGTGAGCAGCTGCTGCGCCTGCTTCTGTTGTATCGATTTATATTGTTTATGGGTTTTATCCCCGTATAGGTTCGTATTCGCAGACGCAAGACACCGATTGATTAGGGTTATCTCCATTGTATTATTGACGGGACAAGAGTAGAGACAAGACTAAAAACAAGGCAAAGGCTGAGCCTGGACTGGACTGAGACTAAAGCTCGACGAAGACAAGACGGACGCAAGATCAGACTCTACAAGCTTAGACTAAGATGAGACTGAAACCTTCCAGGATGAAATCCCCAATATAGTTAGAAGAGAGAATGTTACGGTAGGTGCTTTCCGTCGCCGCGGGAGCTCAGGATCAGCCACGTCAACAGAGGACTGTTTTTTCAAGTGCGCCGGCCCAAACTTTATCGAACCCTGTGTGGCATTGGAGCTTCCCCAGTGCCTGTACAGTGCCAGCAGCCGTGCGCTGACCGTCAGCTGCAGACGGGGACTTCTGCTGCAACGCCACACTCAAGTTGTCAGCAAGACGTAGGACCAGATGCCCAGGGCTGACACCAAACAGGAAGTCAAATAATTCAAGCTGATGGCCAACACCGTTACACATTGCAGACATTTCGTAGTCATATTTGGCCATATCAACGAACCTCTTGATGCTGGCTTGGATAAGTTCGTAGTTCATGAGAACACTGTGCAGCAAGGCGGCACGTACTGTCCAACGAGCTGGACACAGAGTGTGGAAACCTGGCTCGTCGGGCGAAATCTCCTCCTTCTGTTTGCTGAACTCAGGTGTCCGCATGGCAGAGTACTTAAAGGGAGTTTGCTCAATTCGAATGTGGTGTCAAGAGCATCCTTCACGACATTGACATCCCTCACCATTCCTTGGCAGGCCAGATTCAACAAATGTCCGTAGCAATGCATTAAGATTGCTTTGGCTTACTTGTCCTGGATGTGGTGGGCTATAGCATTCCGTGTGCCCTTCATAACTGCTGCGCGGTCATGGCTGGGCATCTGCAGTTGGTTTAGTGACATGCCCATGCGAATACTGCTGTCTTTTATGAAGTTTTGTACAAGTTCGAAGATCCTTGATTTTTGCTTTTCTGGTTGAATTAGGCGGACAATCCTGGATGAAAAGTGGTACGACCCTGGTCCTACTGGTCATGCCTTGTGTGGCGCCTCTGCATTAGATCTGTAATACATTTTTTATGTTAAAACTATGATTTGGATTGCCGTTGAACCGAAGGGCTGTAGTGATCTGATGTGACTTCGATACTGCATGTACTTCCAATTTCTGTGTGTGTGGGTGTGTGTGTGTATGTGTATATGAGTGCCGTCTCTGCAACAAACGTTTTCGGCTTCCATGAGATCTCAACCGGCATGTGGCTCGCCAGCATTGACTCTCTTACCCTGACTCTGGCTCCCTGTCACAAGGGAGTGACGTGGCCCTATGGGGCAGTCATGCTATAGTAGTTGTAGTAGTAGTGTGTATGTGTGTGTGTGTGTGTGTGTACGTGTACGTGTGTGCGTGTGTGCGTGCATGTGTATGTATGGTGCTGTGTCTCTGCTGGTTCTGGATTCCTCCAGCCACGTGGTCCAGCACTGTCCAGGCCGAAACACTCCTACTCGGCGCCAGCACAAGTAGAGCAATCTCAAGCTCGCATGCCCTATCCTCCTGGAGCAAATTGCAATGACGCCAATGCTCGCAGCTACGTCCCCGACGTGGCGCCCAAGCAACGATCGATCCCTCGCCAACTCAAGATGCTGTCCAGCCAAACTGACGCCCATAGCTCAGACGAACCTGGTGACGTTGCAGTGATGTCCAGCCGTGCGCCAGAAGAGTACCGCAAGCAGCCCGTGTGCTTGGTAACGTCCGATGAGAAGGCCAACCGCACCAGACGTTCTCGCTCACCGCAAACCGTTGACCCGACTCCGCTCAGCACACACAGAGGTTGGAGTGCTGAACAAGAACAACCTGCCCTGCCTAGTTCAGCCATGCGGAGGAATGACGAGATCGACGATAGTGTCCATCATCCCCAATACGATAGTATCTATCAACACACTGACAACACAGCCATTGTGTTGGATGGGCTTCAGCCTGATGACAGTGTTGCGGCTGACACCAGTCCAGGTCGGGCCTTGGCTGATGTGCACGGTGCAGAGGAGTATTCAGTTGCCGTCTTCCCGCCGGCGTGCGAAGTGTGAGTTTGTGGCGTTGCTGCCCGTGTATTCCTAATCTTTGTGTGTGTGTGTGTGTGTGTGTGTGTGTGTGTGTGTGTGCGCGCGTGTATGTGTGTGTGTGTGTGTGTGTGTGCGTGCGTGCGTGTGTGCATGTGCGTGCATGAGTGTGCACACTTGCAAGTACTCCTCAACAATATCATGCATCAGTGTGTGCCAGCACTTCAGTTCTTGTGACCGTAGTCTCATTATGCTATACACGTCATGTTTGAACTAAACCGTGGTAAGCCAGGGTCCGGATTTCACTTTCCATCACTGCTCTTTTAATACTTTAGAACCGGAAAGTTTAACGACCAAAAAGTTTAACGTTTTTGTGTAATTTGGCATGATAACGTGCAGAAAGTTTAACAATGGCTACCTGGCCACACATCTGTATGCGCATCTTTACACAGACATCTCAAACCGGGTTCGCGATAACATTTCTTCAAATAACGGAAAAAAAGTTGGTCGTTAAAACGTTAGACTTTGTGACTCGTTAGACTTTCCGGTTTTACAGTACACGTTTCCAGAAGTTGGCTGATGTGTCTTATAATGTGGTTGTGTTTCATGGCAGGCCTATCAATCGATCAGCAAACGAAATCATCGCGCTCATCCGTGGATCTGGCCACCAAAGTACCCAAGCAGCAGCTGTATAGAGGTACATGCGGATGTGTCTGCATTCGTGCTATGACTGCGTCAAAGCGTGTACGGGTGCTGTCCCACCTCGCGCAGTGCTGAGCCTTGTACAGCTCTTGCGCTGCGGGCATCCTTCATCTTCGGGTTCCAGGCAGCGTGAAGTCTGTGTGTGAGTGGCGCTCTTGTTACACCGGCTGTTTTAATGCTGCGGCCGAGACACGCAACATGTAATGCTCAACTGAACGTGTTCATTGCGTAGGGTGTAGATATCGACGATAGGCTTTACTGCACTGTGCTCATAGCAAGCTGGAGCAATTGGCTATGCACGCCGACCACCGAGTATGAATGTGACAGTTGTCACCTAGGCTAGGAGGCTGCCCACAGCTGAGCAGTCCACCGTTTACATCAACACGTGTTTGTGCTTGGGCGTGGTGTTGGTAGAAGAGCTTCCATGATTGAGTCTACTCCGCGGTGCCGTGCTGCGGGTACACAGCTTCTGAAGGCAGCCCTCACTGACACACAGTCACTGAACATTTTCATTTGATTTTTAGTGCAGGTCTCCGACCGCGTCATGGTTCGGGAATTCGACTTCAAGTCTGCACCGAATTTTTATTTAGGAATACCTATATCATCCCCTTGTACCGAGGGATCAAGTTTGCTTGAACAGTATTCCGTGAACAGTATTCCATTATCTAGCCTCTGAAGACAAATTCACACTGTAGTATGATAATTATTTGAAGGCAAAACATGATCGTGCTACTCCTAAACAATTATGACTTTGCTTTGTTCTAGCTTAGGAAAAATGTTATCCAATTTTTATCTACGTATCACTGACTACTCCAGGCGTGCCAGTTATGGACACCCCATTACGTGGATGGGATAGTCACTGTATGCAGTGAAACCATAACCATGATGATACTGTACATGTACCTTCAAAGGACATACACATTATGTACTTATCTTCTTTATATCCCCCCCCCCCCCCCGGCCCCCCCCCCCCCCCCCCCCATCGCTGTCATATTACTGGGCTATGATCGCGCTTGACTTTGCGCAGTAATAATTATAATAGAATACGAATACGAATATCTGAGGTACTCCATATCCAAGTTCAACTGACCGTGAACCGATATACAATGTCTTTGTACTTGTAAAAAGTCCTGTGTGGCCATTGCAAGGTACAGTACAGTGCTGCACAATGAAATCCGGTCGTGAGAGTCAAACACGCACCGAGCAATGCCCCTTTATAGAAGAACTGGCGCTCATAGCACAGTCACTGGGTATAAATATGGATATTTTAGAGAAGAAGAAGAGCTCTCGTTATTCCGAACAAATAGCATCGCCGGGTCCCGGCTTGGCTTTCGTCCTAAAAGTAAAAAGAGGTTTGATCGTGCTTAAGCTGGTTTCACTGTACTCTGGTTTGGTCTTGTTTAGTTAGGTTGCCAGAATGGGGGGGGGGGGGGGCAGGGGCGTCAGACACGGTGCGGTCACTATGGTATTGACCGTACCACTTTTGCCCCAGGTACCCCGTGAATCAATAAAACACACTGATCTGGGCTCTAAATTTCCAAAATTTCGGTTCCGGCGGCACCCCTCCCTCGCAAGCAAATTGTACTTCAGATGGCTAACCGTACCACACTAAAATACCTTCCGACGCCCCTGGGGGGGGGGGGGGGGGGGGCAATGATCTTGGTGACACTGTTTCACCCATCAATGGCAGCCATCATGCTTGGTGGAACTGGAAGGCCCGGCGCTTATCCGCAGTATGTGCATACGTAGATCTATGTGCATGATCAGTTTGTATGATGTGCCACGTCCAAATAAACGACCGCCGGGGCAAAGATCAAAGAGGAGATTATCATTCTATTTCATACAAGTACATGTATTATCAAGAGACAAGAGTACTAGTACCAACGTCCAAGACGGCAAGAGTGCATACTGCGAAGCGTGAAATTTTCGCGGCGTTTTTAGTTCGCGTTTTCAGAATCCGGACAGGTTTGCGAGGTTTTAATTTTACGATTGCAGAATGGCATTCTTGCTAAACCTTTCATGGATCTCCTTTTCGCGCTGTCTAAATTTCGCGATTTCCACGCAGTCGCGAATTTCGCAGAAATTAGACCATCGCAATAATTTCACGGTTTACAGACTGTCAGTAATAAATAAAATAAAAAATAATACATGTAATTGTTTATGGACTCTTGCTATAGCGCTAGTACATACATGTATGGGGGTTATGTAGCACTGAGCCTGCAGACGTAGGCAGCATGCATGCAGTCAGTACCAATACTGTGCAATACTACAGTCTACAAGACTCTACATGTACCATAATACTGTACCACCATACCAGTACGTGCGAGTCCAGACACGTACACGTGTACATGTACGGTAGTAAATAAAGAAAAAAAAGACACGGCCGGGTAGTAAAGTGATTGGGGGATTTCCCACTTCCTCCTTCTCGACCTTTCCATCTGGTTTCCATTGGCGACCACTACAAAGCTTGCGTGTGTTGTTGCATGTTTCTTTTGTCAAGTCCTCACTTTTTGAGTTTCATTCGTGTGCTCTTCAAGCACCAGTTCCTCGGCGTTTCCTCAAGAAAGCTGAGCTGGTCACGATCTTACTCCTCACCTGGGTGTTGGCCAGTTGGTTTGTTTAGACCCGACCATGGCTCGGCTACTGCTGGCCTTGTCGCTGATCACGGTGGCCCTAGGCATGGCTCTAGGTAGGGATCAAACTGAAACGTTGCCTCGCTCGGACTTGGCTGTACCGACCATGCGAATCCTCTACTGGTGAGTCACGACTAACGTAACATTCATATGATCGTGCCAACACCATGAACACTGTGCAATTATAGACAGGATGGGGAACTTGGAGCGTCTGCACACCATCATGATATTTGCCCAGCGCCGGTAGTTTGTACAATGGTGTAGTTGATCTTCAAGTTCTGAAAATGTGAAATAATAATTATTAGCAGACACTCTTTTATTCAGTAGTACATGCACCAGATCAGAGTGTAAGGATAACAACACGACGCAATCAGGTTACGTTTGGTTGGTCACATTCCCAAATGGGAATCACTTGGAATCACTCGGAATCATTCTCGCCCGTTTGGTTGGTCAAAAAAGTGCGTTAGGTTGGTCCCATTCCACATGATTCCAGAATGGGAATCGCTGAGAATGATTCTTTTTGGAGAATGATCATTCCACCTCACATGCTGGAATGAGCATTCTCATTCCGGAATCAAAAATGATAATGGCTGCCACGAGCCAAACAATGTAGCAACAGGTTCAAGTGCCTCAAATCATGCACTCAGAAGTACCTTGACTCTCTCAAGAAAACTAGAGTCGGGTAAAAGAAAAGACAGCCGCCGTTCCGCAACGACATCATGGAATTGCTATGTCCAGTGATTCCTAATTGATTCTGGCGCGTTAGTTTGGTCAGGTGATTCTTGCCGATTCTCATTCCAGGATGGTTCTCATTTACATTCTGAAAATGCCCAACCAAACGCAACCTCAGTTAGTTAGTTTGAAATCCAATCTTGCGAGTCGCACTGGGTGCTGTGCAGCGCCAGACCTGTGATCACTGGGCTGTGCACTGCTAGTATAGGTCACGGTTGATGCATGCTGCAAACTTGACTCGTGCGATGGGATTTCATAGAGCAGCGCCGTATACTGGTATGTGCATGCAGTTGTCTAGGTGTTACAGTACACTGACGGCGAGTTGTGGTACAATTATGTAGTTTGAGAGATAGTGCCCACTGCACCTTGGCGCAGAGCCGTGCACGCATACGAAGAACGGAAAGACTTGTTATGCAATACGCCAATTCACACACGCACACGAACAAATAACATAGAGGAACTGAGTACACTCGTACCTCGGTTATCCGGACCACGAATTTACTGGCAATTCGGTCTGCCGGGCACACTTTGGGCGAGTTTCAGTGGAAATATTACTACTCCTTTGTCACTTGTATAATTAGTGACGTCACGTTCCATATAATGGCCTTTCCCCATCATGATGTGTGTGATTCGGAGTTGCGGACATTTCAAAGTTACGGTCAGTGCCCGGTCCCAGACCGCCCGATAAACGAGGTATAAGTGTTGTAGAAATTGTCCGATCATCAAGCACTCGCAAATATCTCAAGAACACGTCCGCAGTGTCTACTCCAGGGCCGGTCAGCGACCCGGTTTGGGGGTACTTGGACCTGTTTGAAAAAAAAAGAGAGAACAGCGGGCCACGTGCGACACGGTTGGGAGTAAACATGTTGATAATTTTTGGTTCTTCAAGTGGGTAAACAGGCTGCTGGTGCGTTGACCATGTTGACAGTGTGCCCAGCACCCTTTGTTCTTGCATGTACATCAGAGAGTCGTAAACCTATTTACGACAGGGAGTCATAAACCTATTTACGACAGGGAGTCATAAACCTATTTACGACAGGGAGTCATAAACCTATTTACGACAGGGAGTCGTAAACCTATTTACAAATGCCTGATGTATATGCAGTAGCCGCCCTTGAGCGTTACGCGCCCGGCGCTGGCCCGGTTGCAAGAGGTTTTCCAGGTAGACACATGTACTGTACCCGGCTGGGTTGAACACCTAGAGCAGACACTGATACGGTCTTGCATGTTGCTAGTGCAGCATGGCCACAACTAGGCATTGGCAACACAACCATATTGTGTAGTGTGTACAAAAGAAAAAAAATTCTCATTTCTATGTGGAAGGTATAAATTTTGATTACCGGCTTTCAGTGGAAATCAGAAACTGTCCAACAGCGGCGGCCTATGCTGGATTGTGCGTACTCTGCCTAACTCCTGGTGTCTGCAGCCCTGCAATGAGATCTCATTCAGCTCTGAACTGTCCCATCTACTATTCTAGCATGCTAACGCATCGAGTTCCCCCGCTGTCAACATTTATCGTCATTTTGTTAAAATTCTTCCTCACCATGTGAATGTGCTGCTGTGCTGTGCGCGTATCAATCACGGACGTCGAATGCAGCTTCTCGCTGCACGTGGGCGTTTCATTGTGTTTTGCTAGGTTTTTATTGTCTGTGTGTTCGGTGTTTGAACTGTGCGTGCTAGCTACTCCTGAGGGTACCGCAACGCCTTCCAGCAGGTGACTCAGGCGCTCAAGCAGCGCTTTCCTGAGCTACAGGTGGAGGGTGGCAACTTTCCGCCGTCGCAGACCAACACGATGATTGCGACGGCGCTTTCTTACGGCAAGCTGCTGGCCATTGCAGCGCTGATCATTGCCGATGCCAGGGTGCCGGCAGGAGAGGGCCCCGAGTGGTTCGACTGGATGAGGACGAACAAGGTGAGCGTGGGCGTAGGCTGATATAAATCAACTAGGCTGTACAGATTTGCACAGCCTAGTTGCATGTACATTATACAGCACTGTACAGATTTTTTTTAACAGGACATGAAATTATTTTTTCGGCAAACATTTTGTTTTAACCCTTTATGTACTGAAAAAATTGTACACAGACTGAATTTGATCTCGACTCACCTCAAATTCTATAATTATCTGGGTCATAACTTTAGTCTCCTTTTGACGATTTTTTCAATCTTGGGCTTCCTGGAAAGCTCGTCGCAAGAGGAACACATTGCGCCCACGCTTGCCACCATGAAGGTCAAAACGCCAGCGCTACAGCCCAGCGTCTTAGCTGCAACGCCAATATTCCGACAGAAGTCGTCTTGCATCAGCCATTTCGCTCTCCTTGCTCGTAACAACTAACTTTTACTTCAAAAAAAATTCACAAACTGCCATGAGTCCGTTTTCCATTTTGATAATGTTTCTACGTCACTGCATGCCCAGAATGATGGGGAAATCCCTCATTCAAATTTGCGCGAGCGGCTATTGAGCGACATTTGCCGCGATTCGACTTTCGAGCTTCGTAACTCTGGAACTACACATCAAAGCGCTTCAGCGATTGTTTCAATGGACAGCTGGGAGTTTTCTCTTTGACCTACATATTTAGTTTTCGGATATAACCCAGGAACGACTGAGTTACGATCGATTGAAATTTTGAAAAGTTTCGATCCCAGGGGATCGAAAGTTGTACAGTCCGTACACAAAGGGTTAAATGTTTGGCACCTATGATCAGGGGATGGCCCACGCCTGGTAAAAAAAGTAAATAATTAAAGAAAAAATTAAAAATTAAAGGTTCTGTGTTCCGGCTCTCCGCCTTCTCCGCGAACATAAGAAAACTAGAGGAGAACAAACAAACACAAGAAGCAAGAATGGCACGAAAAGCAGAAATTATGAGAACATGGTATAAATGAGCACGGCCATCAACCTCAACAGGGGATAGCCGCCTCGGCAACAACAAGAGCAGCTGAGTCCGCGGCAAAGACCGGTTTGTACAGCCTAGTTGCATGTACATTATAACTTAAGTACTGTACAGATTTGCACAGCCTAGGTGCATGTACATTATAAATACTGAAGTTTTATTGTCATTGTGCGTGTACTTTCAGGGGCGTCGCACACGGTACGGTCACTACGGTATTGACCGTACCACTATTTGCCCCAAGTACCCCGTGAATCAATAAAATGCCCTGATTTGGGCTCCAAATTTCCAAAATTTTCGGCTCAGCCATCCCTCCCCCACGAGTAAATTGTACTTCAGATGGCTGACCGTACCACACTAAAATACATTCCGACGCCCCTGACTTTGTTTTCACCTGCAGTTTAGCCTCTGCATGTTGCCCTGGCTGACGTGTATTCTTGTTTTCACGCCTTTCTCGGGGTCTCGTGTGTGTGTGTGCGTGCGTGTGTACTTGTGTCCATGTGCAGCTGTCATCCGTACTGATCACGTTCTTTGCTTGCAACGCCATCGAGCAGCAACTGTTAGCGACGGGTGCTTTCGAAGTGTCCTTGAACGGTATGTTCAATTTGTCAGCCGCCTCATCCTTGTTTCTGACTATACAGTCGGAGGTTTCTTGCGATCATGTGTCCGGTTCCCTTTCCAGCTTGTGGAAATCGGCTGGAGCGTATTTACGCCTCCTGGAGAACAATGGAGTGCGGTTTTGCGTTTCGGCTATCTTGCCTATCTGGGTATTTTCATTTGCTGGAAAACAAGTGGCGAGCACGGCAGACACGAGCGCCCAACCAAGAGACCAACACACAGCTAACTGCATACGCACAGAGAGGAGATTGTCGCCATGCAGTGTGTTGTGCTTTTTTTTCGCTTTGTTGTTTTGTTTGGAAAGTGTTTTGTCTCCATTTCGTGTGCATGTATGCAGTACTAGTATACTACTTACGTCGCTCATACTGTGCTCAATACCCACACGTCCACTGCTCATACTCTGCTCAATAGTACGCACACTTCCTCTGCTCATACAGGCTCAATATCCGGGCTAGAGCTTTGTAACACAGAAGGCAGCACGGTTTGTTTGCTGCCACTCAAGAGCCTCACACTAAGCGATCCTCGGGCAACATAATTACACAAATGTTGTGTGTTTGTGTGTGCGCATGGGTGTGTGTCTGCGTGTGTGTAGGACATGATGTGTTCTCCAAGCTACAGTCTGGCCGCCTGCCTTCTCTTGAGGAGATGGTTTCTTTCGTCAACATGGCCAAGCGTTACGAGTCGCAGTAAAGGAAGGTAGGCTCTTCATGCATAACTATCTCAGTGTCTGCTCCAGAGCCGGGTCAGCGACCCTGTTGGGGGGGGGGGGGGGGGTACTTGGACCCGCTTGGAAAAAGAACACAGGGTCACTCACTTGTTACCCGGTTGGGACTCAATCAGGAAGTCCTAAGACTCGCTGATGTACAATAGCCGCACTTGAATGTACCCGGAACTGACCCGGTTGCAAGAGTTGTACCAGGTACACGTGCACCCGGCTGATTTGAAATCCTAGAGCAGACACTGTATCCATGATCTGGATTAGGCATGCGCACAGTAGAGTTAGTCCCCTGTTCACACACTGGTCTGAAGATAGTAATTATTATTCGCCAGTTGTTGTTATATCCAAGTTGTTGTTATTTGCAAGGTTGACGTTGACATGGACAGCTGTAGCAGTGGCAATTAAATTGCCCTATTTTTCCAGTATAAGCCGCACTTTGAACACACAAAATTCACCCAAAAAAAGGGGGTGCGCCTTTTACTCTGATCAAATTAACGGTGATAAATAGGATCGATGTCTGTATTTCGTGGCAAGGGGGGGGGGGGGGGGGGGGGATGGCTTATACTCCGGAAATATGGTACAGTTAGAATGACCAAGCATAAGCATTTGCGATGCACATGACATTTCTACCGACGAGCCATGTCTATTTCTGCGGTCTCTTGAGGCATGTTTGTTTCTGCGGTCTCTTGACTTCAGGTGTCGCTGGCGTGTACCGTCGTGCTACCAACGCCGTGCTCGTGACGACGCGAGGTTCAACCGCTCCCGTCCTGGGTGGCACTTCGCGTCCGATATCCCCCCACGCTCTGTTGTTCGTGGGACGGCAAGTAGCACACGGTGCAGCTTCAGACCTCCTCACCTTTTCACTGTGTCCCATCTATCATAAGTTATACCCGCATGACTGCAGGCTGTGCATGCTTTACAAGCCACTAGCTTATAAACCATTATCCACCGTATACTCCTTCTCGCTGCATCTCGAAATTGCACTCTAATAGATTTCTATAAACAAATTCGTATGTACAGAAAGCTTCTTCCGAGAAAACCATGCGTTCGGCACGTCTTTTTTTAGTTTCTTTTCTGCACGCGCCTGCATGTTGCGCAACATTTCGTGTTTCTCCCGGACGAACATCTAAGGTTTCTGCTGCACAATCACGAGCCTTTTGGTGACAAGTGGCTTTTGATGTGGGGTTTTTTTCTAGACTTATGGCCAGCACCTGCTGTCAGGATATTTTTTGTGTTTTTTTATTTATTTATATCATGGCGGTGATAAGATCATATTTCAACGTTCTGTGACGGCTTCTTCTGATTTTGGCTGCGTCGGGGTGAATTTGACGGAACTCAATCCTATCAGACGGGGGAATTGCCTTGCAGGATATAATTATGTACGATGGATACTGTGTGCACGATTGTACTTCAATATTGCATGTTAAATCGAGCTATGCCTTTCCTGGGGGGATGCACCTCCTCCATAATCCAGTTGATGGCTCTCCACCTGCGTGTGAAAAGAATGCTAGCTCTAGGCCAGGAGTCCCTAGTGTGGCAAGGCGAAGGGCAGGATTGAGCCCTGATTTGCGAGTACTAGTACTAGTACGTTCGTGTACACATGCACGAAGTCCGAGCAAGAGTCATAGTTGATGTACTCTTGGTCCCAGTAGTAGGCTTGTGGCCTGGTACGCTTTCCAACGGCCATTGTCGAGCCACCGTGCTCAGAGCAGAGACTTCTCTGTGTGTTATTGTGAAAGTGGACCACAAAGACGAATAGTTTTTGTGTAGAGCTGCTAAGCAGGGAGTGGTAAAATACCATATTTTCTACTCCTTGCTGCTAAAATTTAATAGAATAAACACCGATGTCGTAGTGTTTATGGGAATATAAACACTGCTATAAAAACCGAAATGAAGCCGAGGTCTTTTACGAGGTATTTATTTCCTATATTGACCGAGTAGATCTACGAAGTCAATATTAGGTATGTTCAGAAAGTGGTGGACATCACGCAACTATTAGGTTTATCACGACAAGCCTGCATGATTGTGTTCAGTGTGTTCGCTCCCTAAAAAGGAGTTATCACTCCCCCTCACGTGACCGCGGACTCCTGCATATACACTCACTAGGCCTAGCCCAAATTTGCTCGGGGCGCTTCGATATTTTGCCGGCAAATTTTGCCCGATCACTTTCCATATTTTGCTTGGCATTGCCTTTCGTTTCCGATATTTTGCTCCATTTTGCTCCTGCTTTGTGGCAAAAATGGCTTCGATTGAACCGTCTACTTTGGTAAAAGTGGATGGTGACTCTGACGAGGAAAGCAAAACTTATAATGGTGTCAGTATTACGGATTTTGGAGCATGATTTCAAATTTATGTACCCCTGACAACCTGCACGAGCTCTTTCAGCACGACGTTGGCCCAATGAAACCAACGAAATTTGAATAAAATTACCAAAACACACCCGGATCCTCTGTAAATTCGATATTTTGCTCGGAATTTGCCAGCAATTTCTTTTTGTTGGAAAATTCGATATTTTGCTGGAAGAATTGCCGGCAAATTTGGGCTAGGCCTAACACTCACACAATAACCACACAACTGTTTGGGGATAGCGCGCTTATTGTATTATGCCAAACTTGACACGCTGAGTCCAGCTTGACTTAGCTGAGTCCCTAACTGCAATTTACTGCTCTAACATGAAGCCGTGCCTGGAAGAAGGGAAAGAGCGAAAAAAGAAAAAAAGAAAAAAAATTCTGGCCTTCTGCAAGCAATAGCAAGTACTAGTAATGAGTGCCGGCTGTGTAAAGTCGCACAACCATGCAGTCGACCGGATGATGGTGAGTGTCCGGCACACATCACAAATTCTGACCTTCTGCAAGCAATAGCAAGTAATGAGTGCCGGCTGTGTAAAGTCGCACAACCATGCAGACGACCGGATAATGGTGAGTGTCCGGCACACATCTTGCTCCGCTGCTCCACCTGCGCATACCTGATACGGTGGTGCACTTACGGGCGGGCTGCCTGGGCCCCAGATGCCTCCCTGATGCGCCACGGGGTGCCGTCGAAGCACCTGTATCACTTCGGTGATCCAAATGCGAATGCAGCCTTGCCGGTCGCCCGCCGGCCTGCCGCCTACGCGACCAGCCTGAGACTGGCCCTGCCGCATTTGGCGCTTCTAAACGCTGCGATCCGGTAGACAGCTCACTGGGCTGCCAAATACGTGACCATGGTGACTGGCTTGAGAACGCTTGTGGCTCAATGTAGCTGAACCATCGGACCTTATTTGTCAGCTTGGATCACGTGATCCATCCAGCTGCCGCGTGCGGCAAACAGCCCAAATAGCGCTAACTCTGGCCTGCGAGAGTTTGCTGCGACAAGCGCGCTAGCGCTCGTGACATACACAAACGCGCTAGCCAGAATGCTTTGACTTTGATGGCTTTCACTTTTCAGCTTCTATTTTTTGAAAAGTAGCGCGCTCAGACCAGCTCGTTCACTCTTTTCCTCTTCCATTTTTTAGGGCAATTGTTTTGTTTGATAGACGAAGCTTAGGGTCTCTTTGGGTTTGCAACCCTTACCCTCCTGGAAAAAATCATAGTTGCTAGACTGCGACACTTCAGACCAGGTACTATTAGAGCCGCTAATGGACGACGAGCTATTTTCCGCTATCCGGAGCTCAAGCATTTGAGCCGCTAAATGGACGAGACTCCTGGGGTAAAGGATGCAGAGAATGAGGAGAAAACACTCGTATGGAGCAGGGAGTAGGTATTGTACTACTTCCTGGTATGGAGCACTGAGAAGCGGTAAGTCTTAGGGCAATTCTTAGCCAGTAATTACTTTCTCGCCATAATAATGTTCTCGTTTTTCGTGTCTTCTGTAATGCCAGTACACTAGCAGTACGACTACACTGTAGGCGAGAGTCCATAAGCCAGAGTGTGCAGCTCTCCATCTATGCAGCATAAACAAATTCATGACAAATTTCCTTTGCCTAAGGGCTGGGTTCCACTGCCGCTCCGCCGCACATCATCCACGGCATGAAACGGGTTCATTACGAGCTGGTCCAGCGAGTCAGCGGCTCATCACCAGCTTTCGCTTCGCTGCTTGATACAAAAAAATGCAAGCCGCGGTCACGGCTTGCATTGTTTCCCGCACTTTATTGTTTTATTCGGGGGAATTTTAATTCGTTGCACAGGCCAGAACACGAGGATTTTTTTGGATTTCACGCGTGCGCAGGCAGGCTAAATGTCATCAAAAAACGTCGAGCACGATCGCGGTACCGTGAATGGCGAGTGTCACTGGAACCGCGCCGCTCTGCTGCATGCAGCCAAGTACCGTGGAGCTGCAGAGCCGCAGTGGAACCCGGCCCTAACCAAACTTATAGCAATTTGAAAATGTTTGACAATTTTTCATAAAAAACTTGACAACATTGTTCTTCTGTAGAGTGCCGCTGGCAACTCCATCAATGAGCGCAGGGATAAAGTTTAGAAACCCTTCGAGCGAGAACGTGTTTTCAAAAAGGAAGCACAAATATGCCGCGTAACTTTCCCTCTAGTATGGCCCAATCAAAGCCACTCGCTGACTACTTACCAGTAAAATGGTGTTGGACGGTTGTCAGATTAGCTGACATGTTTTCTGCCAACACAACCATAAGCAGTTGTCAACTCTCAAGACTAAAAGAGCTTGCGAAGAAAGTGAGAAACCTTGGCTATGAAAGCACATGAAGCGTCAGAACATAATCGAGCAAACTTGGACCTAGATTACCAGTGTCTGCTCCAGAGCCGGGTCAGTGGCCCTGTTTGTGAGTACTTGGACCTTTTGGAAAAAGAACACTGGGTTACCTGCGACCCGGTCGGAAGTCCTGTCGAGTACTATACTTTTTTATACTTCGAGGGTATACCGCCACTGACAGGCTGCATACGCGTGCAGATGCGTGCGGCCAGAGTGCCCAGTGCGAGTACGTTCATACATGTACATGTACAATCATGTACATCAGGAAGTCGAAAGTAAGTTTACGACTCCCTGACACACAGTAGCCGCACTTGAACGCATCTGGCTCTTGCCCAGTGTTGCAGGAATTGTGCCAGGTAGACGTGTACCCGGTTTGTGTGAAATCTTAGAACAGGTACTGCATACCCTATCATATCTGTGTACATGGGTATACAGAGTCAGTGTTGTTGCGTCCCACTCAGCACCCTTCTGGTTCATTTCGGCACCAGCACTCTTTGCGTATGCAGAGTTGAGTAGAGTGCAAGTTCGGACCACAAGCACACTGTAGCAGCTAGTAGCAAACCTAACCTGTGCCGTGATGCACGGCACGTGTGTGCATCTACTTCATCCCTGAGTAACACACCTGGTATATTGTGCACAATAGGGCACAGTAAATAATCAGCATGCATCGCAGTTTTCTGCTACATATTCCTGAAGTCACTTTACACCTCAGAAGAATTGCGTCGCTAACTGTTAGTTATTCCCTGGGTCATTATGAATCATAGAAAACCCGTCATACAATAGGTTCAAGCTAAAGTACCGTATCACCATGATAATTCCTGGAAATTCGGTGTGTTTTCTGCCTTTCGTTAAACAAGCAGCAATGTGCAACAGAAATTACCATGGTGATACAGTAGATGACCGTGTGAAGCGGTGTGAGATGCAGCAAAGGTGAGCCTGTTACTGTGAGTCTATGCCCTAAACAATAAACTTTGCCGTGGGAGGCTCCTTGGGCTGCACACTCTGCACACTTATTGCTAGGTATATCATTGGTCTTGTTCGGATCGTCCATTACGTTTGCAGCTGTTCAAACTTGTTTTGTTGTTTATTATTTTATTGATTTATTTATTCTACTTGTCTTTCCTATCTTCTTGTGTTTTAGCATTAGGTGATTTGATCATAGGACAAGAGAGGAGCTAATGGACGATCTCTCCAGTGTCCCTCTTGGTTCGGAGCAGCGTCGAGTGCTGACGTTGGGACTTGGGTAAGGATGAGTGTTCCCTCATGTTTACAAGTTATCCGTTTTTTTCCAACACTAACGGTTATATGCAGAATACTGCTGAGTCAAAAATGTGCAACAATTAGCACAAAAACTGACTGATGAGATCCTGACATTCAACGACCTGATGCTTAGCTGCATCACGTTTATATCCGTTAGTGTTGGACAAAACGGATAACTCGTAAACTGATGGTCCTCTTTTTTTAATTTTAATCCTTGGCTCTCCATCCGAGTTCCCTCGTGTGTGTAAAAAAAAAGTAAAGTTTGCACGTCCGCGTTACCACCGGCTATACAATTGCGTTGAGAAACACAACCAGCTTAGGAAG